TTATAGGATCGTTTCACGGCTTCACTCCTGGCCATGTTTGTGTGCAAAGTACACGATGCATATTGCCCAGTCTCCAGAAGCCTGACAATGAGCTCATGCAATATGGGGAACTGATCATGCGATAATCTCTGACGGATTGATGGACATCTGGTCCGCCTTGGGAGTCGAGAACTCATTGATGGACGCGATCAGGTTGTCGCTCCGTCGCACAACTAAGTTCCAAAATGGTATCCCAATCATGTGCATCTCGGCGTAGTGCACTTCGTATGGATATTTCAATGTTGCCAAGCGATTATACTTCGGTATATGAGGTCAAGAGCCGTGGCGCTAAAGTTGCAGTGCGGGGTTAGCTTGCGAGCGACGAATTAAAGGTAGTGGTTCAAGGCATTGCGAATGTACCGATAGCTAAGCATTCTTGGTGCCTTTCCCCGGACAATTTGTATTCTTGGATCTCGCAAGGGCAATTTAAGGATGCACAGATGGCCAGGGTGTATCGTGCATGCTGCAACGCCTAGAAGGCGGGGTCGCGAATGGAGAGTAATCAACTCAATCGCCGCGTCGATTCAATTGGCGGGCTGCCCAAATACTCGTTGGCATCAAGACCACGGGGTCCTTTGTTACCTGGGATGCCCAAGTGTGTGACAAGCTTGAGAGAAGGTTCTTTCGCCGCGTGGAGATGCAATTTGGAGCCACCCGAGTGCCGCATCGTCACAGGAGAAAGGGTATAGAGTGCCGAGCGCTTGGGCTCCATTTGTTCCATATGGATATCAGACGAGGTATCGTTCACTGTGTCCTGGGTTCCGTCCTTTCGAATCGGCCGTCTTTCACATGCCAGCTACAGTTCATCATGTTCGCCATGGAGGCTCACTCCACGACTTGATCAAGTGTCGGTTTTGCCAGGTATGTCCATCCAAGGTAATCATCGTGACCGAAGGTTACATCCACGACAGCGTGCGATTGTCGTCGACAGTGCATGGCTGTAGCGTAGGGCTGAGAGTCATGCGACCGGTTCTGAACATAGACGCATGCTACAGTATGTCCCTGGTGGAGTACGCTGTTCAACCATCGGGCGGGGGCAGTTGAAGCCCGAGCACGTCTCGATCGCCCGCGACTAGAGCCATAGTGTGTTTGGAGCAAGCATTCTTCCTGTAAGCATCGCGCTTGATCGTGGAGAGATGATGGTGGGTATACTGCGGAGGTGGCTTATCGTGCGGACGGGTGCGGTGCGTCGAAAGAGGGGGAGACCTGGCATGAACGTGAGTAGGTAGCCGTGAAACTGTACAAGAACTCGCGATTGTTCTGCCAGCAGGCATGTATTCGGGTGCATCGTTGCGCGATGTCGGAGGGGTCGTGATACAGTCCTGTCGCGTCTGTTCAAGGTTGGTGCCACGGGTGTGGACCTCTGCGCCTTGGCACAGCGCGCGTCATCGTTCTCGGTCTTTCAATCTCGCGGAGATACACCAAAAAAAGACCTCTAGTCGCGCACAGCAAACATTCCAGAAACGTGAATTTCCAGCTCTGCGTGTAGAACAACACCTGCGGAACGCGCCTGCAGATGCCGACGAGATATGAGTAGAAGACCAGGTACTGGAAGCTGCCCAAGTATCAACCCATCAACTTCTAATCTACGTCTACATCCGTGTCAGAATCCACCCGCAGGACAAGGACCAATTCTAATCATGATCAAGCTAAAGCGCGATCAGGCTCATCGCCTTTCGTGTGGCACACAATCTCCAAGGGTTGCAACTTGGTAGACATAGCATCACGCTCTGCTCTAGCCTGGCATGTCACCACAATTCTTCAAGTGCATGTTCACACCTCAAAACCATGCCAGGTCTCCATCCTTCTCCGTTCTCCTCATGTTGATCCCGGCCTCGAATCTTGCCCGGCCGTCTCACGTTTCAATAGCACACATCGTTATTGGCCGCTCAGCCAGCTTGACCTAACCCAAAGCAGCAGGCACCCCATGCATCACGCCCCTAACGACGATGTCGCGCAGTTTTGTGGATTTTTCCTCGAAACATCGGAGCCCCAAAGGGCTTTAACGACATGGACTGCATATGCACATGGATCGGCGGGAAGTCTAGGTTCAGCCCATTACTTGGAAACATGTTGGGATATAAGACGGCCCCGACGACCATCTTCATGGAGTCAGGCCGCCCTCATTGATCTTGACAACGTCCGCCACAAGATGAAAACGTTCACGCGATGCCTCGTATGGGCGAGCGTGGTCACAACGTTCGTCGCAGCCCAGACCGCCAACGTTACACTCGTCGCAGCCGCGACTGGATTCGAGGGCGACAATACCAACTTCGTCTACGGCAAATCACCTTTACTGGTCATCAATGATGGAAGTGCTGCCGACGGTGGCTTCCGGACATTCTCGGTCTCCAATTCATTAAGCTTTACGGAGAAGTCGCATCAGAAGACTGGTCGCTCGAAGATTGCTGTTGCTGTTCACGACATCGATGGCAGGGATCTGATCGTCAACATCCCAGCTCCAGATTCTTTGATCAGGGTCTTCGACGCTCAGAATGGGGAGATGATCGAAAGTAACAACAAGAAACAGCTGGGCGACTGGAGTACAGCGTGCGTATGGCGCAGTGGGAAGAGCGGAGAGAGTTACATCTTCCTCTTTGGAAAGAAGATCGTCGTGCAGCTCTTGATTCGGAGCAACAAAAGCCGGGTTGATATACTGGAGGTACTGTTGTCACTTGATCGTGGCCAAAGGCAGTAATACTGACAAAGTTCATAGGTTCAAACTTTTCCCGTTCCTATCGAAGGCGAAACTTGCGCCGTGTTCGCGAATGGCGGGATTTTCTTTTCGGCCGAAGATCGACCATTGTACTCTTTCCAGGCGTCGGAGTCTGTCCAAGCACCCGAGATCGAGACTATTACTGAGGACATCGAAGTTGCGGGACTTGCTACTTACCACAGCGCGTCCGCCGACTATCTATTCGTAGCCCACGACGAGGTCATCGATGTGTACGACTCCGACATCAAGCAGAAGGGAAGCATTTCTTTGGGCGGTATCTCTGATCTTTCTATTGAGGGCTCGCTCGCCATCCTTCAATCTTCAGTCGCTGGATACCCATCTGGCGCATTCGCCTTCGCTTTCGAGGGAGAGGATGATACTGGGGTAGCTGTAGGTTCTCTGGACGGCGCGCTCAAATCCATGGGCATCAAGGCAAACACACAGTACAGTCCCAAGAACAAGGCTTGCAAGCACTGCGAAAGCTCCGTCACCAAGAAGTGCTCCAATAATGGCTTCGTGTCAGGCAAGGACTGTTCCTGCTTTGCCGGCTTTACCGGTCGCGACTGCTCCAAGGTCACCTGCGAAAACAACTGTTCTGGACATGGCAAGTGTACCGGTCCGAATGTCTGCAAGTGCAAAGATGGGTGGACTGGCCCAGACTGCTCGTTCGTCGCGGTCACCGCAAAGTTCGAGACTGATGCAAACGGCGGAGACGGCGATGACCCTGCGATTTGGATCCACCCCACTCGACCGGATCAGAGCAAGATCATTACCACAACAAAGTCTGATGAGGGCGAAGGCTTTGGTGTCTTCGATGTGCAGGGAAAGCTCCTTCAGCACCTGACGGCTGAGGAGCCAAACAACGTCGATGTCATCTACAACTTCACTCTCGGTTCCCGCAAGGTCGATCTCGCATTTGCGGCATGCCGCGGTGACAACACTATGTGGTGAGTACCATCGCATGACTTCTTAGAACATCTGCTAATGCATCGCCAAGCCTGGTCGAAGTAAACAGCACAGGTTACCTCAGCACCATTTCTGGTGGTAGACAATCGCTACCGAAAGACTACGAACCCTACGGCTCCTGCAACTACCGCTCTCCGACCACCGGAAAAGAGTACCTCTTCGTCAACAATAAAGATGCGCAATACCTACAGTACGAACTCAGCGCGACCACGAACGGCACCCTAAAAACCACGCTCGTCCGCGAATTTCAAGGCGGCTCAGGCGGCCAAGTCGAAGGCTGCGTCGCGGACGAAGGCGCCGGCTACCTCTTCATCGGCGAAGAACCACTGGGCATCTGGCGCTACGAAGCCGAACCCACTGGCTCGAACACGGGTATTCAAATCGCACAAGTAGGCGACGCAAGCGGTCTCCACGCCGATGTCGAGGGCATTACGCTTGTGCCAGCCAAGTCAGGTCCGGGCGGCTATATCATCGTCTCGTCGCAGGGCATCTCCGCATATCTGATCTACGAGCGCGCGCCACCGCACGAGTACGTGGAGACGTTCACTATCGTTGACAACAAGGCAAAGGGTATCGACCACGTTAGTAACACGGATGGGTGTGCTGCTGTGGGCAACGCGCTGAACAAGGACTTTCCAAGTGGGCTTTTCGTCACGCATGACGATGCTAATGAGCTGGCTGAAGGAGGTACTGCGAAAGAAGCGAGCTTCAAGTTGGTTAGTCTGGCGGATATCTTGGGTAAGGAAAGGGTGGCGAAGTTGGGATATTAGAGGTAGTCCTACAATAGGTGTGAAATCAGAGATGACGTTGTCATTATCCAGCGATTGATGCAAGATCCGCCGCGCCTTATACAAACATAAAATGAACAGGTCTTTAGACTACATTAGGATAGAAACATTCAACGTAGGTGGGTTAACGTCAACATAGGCTCTAATGCCTGGTACCGCTCTCTCTCAGCTTGACGCCCCGACACCCCAAGACCTATGTTCCTCGTACCGCCGCCTCAGCTCAGCCTGGTCGTCCCTCCGCTGCAGCATCTCCATCCAGTCTGCCCGGCGCGGGCGATCTTCGTGAGTGGCTAACAGGGCGGCTTCTTCAAAGTTCTCGATGGGCATCTCTTCTACGCATGTGTCGTTAGTAAGGGTAATTCGAGGGAGCTGCCTAGTGGTAGAATTCGTATCATAGCATACGCGTCACTGAAGGTTGGAAAGTATATACTTCCATGCCAATGCATCCTCCTAGCTTAAGAAGATGTCACAGAAGGAACCGAGATAGTGATTCACTTACCGGGATAAGACCTGTTCCAATGCTGATGATGCGGCATTGAGTATTTCCAAGGGTCGAAGTGCAAGTTTGGCCAGAAATCCGTAGCGGGACTACGCAGCCTAGTCACGCTGTCGGACTTGTCCCCATACTCCCACGCGGTGTTTTCGCCATATAGCTCTGCGATGATGGTGATGTTGTCGTGTGCGCATGATTTCGCGTAACTGCGTAGTTGCGCTAGTTCCGTGTCGCGAATCGCGTGGGCCATATCGTCGTCCATCGTGCATCCGTATCTGACCGATACACCGGCCTGGCCAGTGGGGATGTAATACCGTATCTGCCATTCAGTCATGGTGTCTTTCGCCATGAGATCGACGAGGTCGCGCATCGCAGCGATAGGGACGCAGGGGTGTTCTGGTGAGATCCTGGGCCAGAGTGAGAGTAGATGGTCGAGGTGGACCGTCGCACGTCGCTTTCCCAGCTCGTGTTCAAGGTACAGGTTCCAAGAGTGCGGAATATAGTGCTTGATGGCTTGGTGAAGGGTGTCGAGCAAGGCGACTATGTTCCATGTTTCTCCGTTTGCATCATTGAGACGGAAGTCGTCGCTGCCGTCCCACCGGCGGTCTATCGAGACACGCAGAATGTCGACGTGCAAATGGAAATGCACTTCCATGAAGTCGGTCAGTGATGCTGCAATGGTGTCTGTCGTCTCTTTGCTCAGGCCGTAGTCTTCACTCAGCTCGGTCCCGTAGTCGTACTGCATGCCGGCCATTACTGGAACGTAAGCGACCTGCTTTTCGACGAGGTAGCTCCGCGCTTCCTTGTATATCTGAGAACATGTCTGTAGTAGAGCAATGTACGGGTCGGGTTTGTTGAGATAGTACGGGTTCAAGGGTACGCGTTGGTATTGCTTGTCGAGCGCAAGGTCGTAGATCTGGTTTCGCAGTTCGCCGGAAAGATCAAAGAATGTCTTGCGACCTGGCACGAGCGCTTTCGCGTCTTTGGTGACGATATCTAAGCGGCCTGTCATGATAAAGTGACGACTGGTCGCGGCTGATTTTTTTCGCGATTCCCGAGGTCTGCGGTCGTGACCGCGTACTGGCGTGGGGGCCGTGTGGGATCGCGTGTCAATTGCGGGGCAACCCAGGACAAGCGATGTGACGACCATTAAGTCTGAAGACATATGCTGTTGCCCACCATTCTTTCAAAGTACTTTACTGTCATTCCTAGGCGGCATTTAATCATCATATGCCGTTTGACGAAATTCGCAGGACGAGCATTGAGAAAGTTGGCGCACATGAACCCCGCACGTGACTTTGACATTCATCCACTGGTCTCATAGTGTAGCGCAATATCCACTAACCGGCAGAGACTCTCATACTCCATCGCCGAGACAGCTCATGCGCCTATTGAGTCTCGACCGCTGCAAAAGGTCTGACGTCACCACACCACTCCAGACTGTCGCAAGTCCCCTTCACCTCGCCTTCACCTTGTCCCGCACGTCCCTATACCGCCGGCAGAACCACGGGTACCGGCGTGAGCACAGTCCATGTGAAATCCGGGCCCACAGGTTCATCCGGCCGCTCTTGGCAGGCCAGCAGCCGACTATATAAACAGCGTTTCCTGCCTCCCTCCTACCATCCACACACCCCGCCGGGGATATGCCCACTAACTCACAGCAGCTGGCTAACCCCCAGCATCGCCTTCTCGAATGGCTTTTCCCGGGCTCAGCTTGGAAGAGAGACTCATTGACGCATGGTTGCGAGTCATCGAGCGCCGCGAGGTGGGGCGGCCCTCCACAACATTCACTTGTTGTGTTCCTTATGCTTTTTCATTAATGCTTCTGGCTTGCTAGAACATTGAGGAAGAAGTTAGCGGTGTTTGATTTGTTGTGATGTGATCGAGCAAGGTGAAGTGAAAGAAAGTGAAGTGAAGATGAATACAATATGAATGGAGAAAAGAGTGAAAACAATCACTACCGTTTACCATTGTGATAGTGACCATCGCTCTTCATGTTAATACCCGGACCATATATCTTCTAGTCGTACAGTCTGTCATCAGAAGAAGAACGAGGCTCCTCCAGAACCTCTAATCGGCTCCAGAGCTCTAGAAGGGCTTCATCGCCAATGTCACCAGACAAAGCCTTTTCGATATCCTCAATCTTCCACCCGTAATATTTACTTTCATAATCGGCAATGTAGATACTCGCGATGGTCTCGAATGAGGCAGGGGGGAGGAGATCCTTGTTGCTTCGAGCGCAATGAGCGAGGGCATCGGCGCGGGATTGTTGGTATGCCAACTCTAACCAGTGTCTCTCCAAGTTAAGTCGGGTGACACAACTTGCGTGCTGATCTGACGACAAATTTCTGTCATAAAACTTTTCGTCCAGCCTCCAAGGGCGGCGTTCGCACAGTGTCTTAGTGTCGGGTTTGAGCTGTGCCTCTGCATATGTCTGTTCTAGTGCTCTGAACTCCCAAAGAATGAGATCCTCTTTCTCGACACAGATTCCGTCTGGACACAGCCGCTGGATTTGCCGTTTCGCTTCTTCGTAATCCTTATCGTGTTGATCGATTCTGTTCTTCGCTCTTTCCGCCTCCATTCCCATCCTGTTCAATTCTCCAGTGGAATATTCGATCTCCCCGTCAAGCTCATGATCCTGATATCTTTGTCGAATTCTCTTGGTATAGTAGATGTTGGCTGGATCATCTGGATCATCCTGGTAAGTTCTGACCTGTTGGAAAGCACCTTCGGCCCAGCCTCGTCCTGACGGCTTATGCTGCGCGCGGATGAAGTCAGCCCGAAACTGATTGATGTCAAGCTTTTCGGGCCAGCCGTTCTTGATCAGGAGCGATGATGTGAGGTTGTGGGACGGTGGAAGGATGCGCGGATCAGCGGGTACATCAGCGGGGTTCGCGGCCACCCATGGTGTCCATGCTGTGCTCCGATATGCGTCTCTGATCCTCCTCAAGAAGGTTGGCGCATCGGTCCATCTCGTCCAATCACGGCTGTGCCTGTTCACCGAGAGAATTCCCGTTGAGTTGATCGCTCCAATGACAGGGGTGTCTTCCCATCTGTGACCAGATCTGTACTGTTCGCTCTTGTATGGACCTCGGAATTGAACCAAGCACCCATTGACTTGTGGCTGGTAATCACTCCTCTCCTCTCCTTCATAGATCCTAATTGCATTCTTCCTAGTGTCATATTGGACTTGCCAACTTCTGTAGAGATCCCAGCCATCCCAGCCGCCATTGGTCAAGTGGACCGTTCCTGGCCGCATGAGGAACGAAGGGTCTTTGTCTGCTTCGTCAGGATCACAGCCGTAGCCCAAGAATTTATCTACCCGGAAATCGGAAAAAGTGCCACCCCATAACCAATGGTCATCGTCGAGTAGTGCGGCGTCTACATATGGGAGGATCTCCATTAAGCGCAGGTCGGCTGCATCGCGCCTGCAGGGACTGGCTGTAGAATTGATTTGGTGTGGGCCACGCTTGATAGAGTCATGCGGAATGAACGAGGCATTTGCTAGCATGGTGTAGATTTCGTCCATCAAGGCAGCAACTTCCTGAAGTTGGTCTTCATTGTAAGTCTCGACGACCTGAATATCGACGTCATTGTCGTGAGGTGATGGTGAGCTTGTGGTAGCGGAAGGGCTGTAGATGCGGTAGAAGCCCAGGAAAGCGATGAGAACTACAACGAACACGACTAATGGGTCCTGATATCGTTTTCTCGTGGTAGAATCGCGTAGAGCCTGGCGAGGTGGCTCATCGTGGTCGTGCTTGGTCATTGGTAAAGACATGGGCAATCGCTGTGGGAGGCGGCTTCAGCGCTCCATGACCACGTCTGATGCGATAATAAAAGGATTCCGCCATCATTTCATGGGAACATTGAGGACAGATGTAGAATTCAGAGGTAGTCGGACGCCTGACGCGGTTTGACACGCTTGCACGTGCACGCATCCACATTTTCGACGATGAGTCGGCAGGAACATGGACGCCCCACCATAGGCAACGACATTCGGAGTTGTATACGACAGCTGCGGCTTGATGTATGGACCGAGAGAAAGCTTTAGACATTGAACAATCAGATCTTCGGTGTTACCATGTCTGACGGGGTCTCGACGAGGAAACTTGGTCAACTGCCGGCTGAAATGCTGGATTTCACGCTCCTCAAGACGTCAGGCTCGCTTGCGCCGCGACTCGGCCGCCTGTCGTTCCCGGGACGCAAGAGTATCCTTACACCCGCCTTTATTGGCAACACATCCAGAGGCGTCATACCCCATGTATCGCAGGACAACTTCCGACGGAGCGCCGATGTTGGTGGGGTATACGTCGCGCTCGAGGACTGTACGTAACGTTCCTCATATGTGCCACCAAGCACCGTTAACAGCATGCAGTCGTCGAGAAGCGCCCGCACAAGACTCCGCCAGTCTTCAAGTATGACGTGCCTGAGCCGTTGCGCAAGTTCATCGCCCTCCCCGAAGACACGCTTCTCGTCCTGGGTGCGCGTCGCAATCCGCCCATAGCCAGCCCTCACGGGAATACAGACACCGAGATACGCCTTCTGACGTCGGTCGGCTTCACGACTCTCAGCTCCGAGTACTATGCCGCCGCGGCACGCAAGCTGCAACCAGACATCGTCGTGGGATTGGGTGATATACCAGTCGGGCAGGAAGCCATCAGTCTCAAGCGGAAAGACCGGATGAGCGACAGGACCGAGGTGTGGCTGCGTGACATGGTAGCCAAGCAGGGCACTATCGACGAGGGCGAGAAAGCATGGAGCATCTTTGCGCCCATCCTGCCCATCGAGCGCGACCTACAGTCATGGTATCTGAATCACCTGCTAGACGATATGGTGGACAAGATCAGCGGCCTCGCCATCTACGACGCCTATCTACTCGACGACCTACCCGACCAGCTCCATCACCTCCCACGACTATCCTTCCACGTCCCTGCCAGCCCACAGGAGCTTCTTCGCCACGTGCGCATGGGCGTGGACGTCTTCACCGTGCCCTTCCTCGCCGACGCGACCGACGCGGGTATCGTCCTCGACTTCACCTTCCCAGCGCCCGTCGGAGACGGCAACACAAGCGCGCGCCGCTCGCTAGGCATCGACATGTGGAGCGGTGAGCATGCTTTGTCCGTTACCCCGCTATCTGAAGGCTGCACATGCTACGCGTGCACAAAGCATCATCGCGCCTTCCTCCAGCACCTGCTTGCTGCGAAGGAAATGCTTGGCTGGGTACTCATTCAGCTACACAACCACGCCATTCTCTCGGCCTTCTTCGCCGGCATTCGCGCCTCCATCGAAGCGGATACCTTCGACGCCGACATGGCCGCTTTCGAGGCCTATTACGAACCTACGCTTCCCGAGAAGTCTGGCCAAGGGCCCCGAGTTAGAGGATATCAGTTCAAGAGCGAGTCGCATGATCCGCATAGGGAGAAGAAGAACCCCAAGGCTTTCAAGAAATACAATGAAGAGACAATCTTGAAGCTGAAGGCAGCTCGTAGCCAACAAACAGAAAAGAGACCAGCAACCACAGACGTTGTTGACGACGAGGCTCTGCTGGGCTTGGTCCAATTGGACGAGTATGTTGTGGACGCGGATCCGGATACGCATATGAAAGACTTGAAGGTGAAATAGGATTGAAGGGCCTGGGTACTCCAAAGGATCATCCAAATACATTGCCTTCCCAATCCACGCGATCCATCGCCTAATACTACGCGTCTCTAGAGTCCACCGCATTTATGACCACATTGGCAAGCTCCCTACCCGTACGCGCATGCACCGCCCGCAGTCTGCCGCCTCTGGTCTGGCCTGGTGTAGCATAGCAGGATTCATCATATATCATCAGATAGAACATGTTTTCTATCAGATTGGACGTCACCAATGGCCCATCGTCAAGTATATCCACATACATCCATGTGGTTATATACTCTTTGCCCGGAACATCTTCGCCCCACATGAACGAGCTCCGGCGTATGCCCCCTTCCAGATCAGCTTGAACGACACCGACGTTTACGAACATTTCGG